CAGCCTCTCTGAGCTCAGGCACAAGCCACCCAGTCTTCCTGGCTGGATTGGTGATCTGGAGCAGATGGTGCTGAGGACAGGGAGCAGGGGAGCAAGGGATGAGGGGAGTTGCCCAGCACGTAGACTTACGTGTGATCCTCCCACAAACTGACCTCTTGGCCCCAGAACAAAGCACTTCTCCAACACACCACAGATCATGGCTTGTGGGGGACGACATGACACATGCCAGAAATTCTTTCCAAGCCACAATTGCTTTGGAGCCATGGCAGCAAGTCTCTGCCTGCTGGGGCCTGAGAGCTCCCCTAAGCCATGCTGGAAGGAAAAGAAGTCTTAGACCTCATCCAGTTAGGACCGCTGGCTGCCAGGAGACCACCCTGAACATTGAGAAGCCAGGGCAACAAAAAGTTGGGCTCCCTGCTCTGAGGGTCAACTCTCAATCAATGGGCAACCCTACAAAGAGGGAGAGCCTCAGTGTTGGGTTTAATCTGCCAGCCCTGGGCTAGGAGGTTTTGCTCACTGTTCTAATTTAATCCTCACAGTCTGGTAGACCGGTATTATCATTTCCTTTTTAGAGATGAGAAAAGCGAAGTTTGGAACAGCTGACTTGGCCAAGGTTAACACAGTTTTTAAGGAGAAGACCTGGGATTAGAAGCCAGGTGTGTTTCACTCATTGGATACGGTGGCCTTTTAAGATGGCTCCTTGTGCGTCTTCCAGCTGCAAGGCAGGCTTGGCCATGCTTCAGGGCCTCCCTGAGTCTCTCTCCCAGGAATCCCTTTCCTAGGACCCTTCCCACCAGAATCTAGGATGTAGGGAGGGGGACTATGAACAGCCTGCCTTGCAGATTAGGGGCTGGGAGTCAGCAGACTCAGGCATTTGGCTTCCCCTCTCGCTGGCCGGTTTCCCTGACCAGACACTGCTCTCCAAGGAGGCTTGTCATTGGGCAGTGCCTGGAAGTGGTTCCTCCTTAGGGATGTTTTAAGTTATGAGCACAGCAGCTCTGTATCAGGAGCAGTACTCAACGAAGGTTGATCACCGATGAGCAGAACTTAATGTAATCAACAAACTTACAGCAAAGTCAATGTTACATACGATTGAATGATAAGCATGATCATTATTGAGCTATATGGAAATTAGACCTAAATGTTGAACAGGTCCTGAAATTGACTGTAGTGTTCCTTTTATATAACTCAGCCAAATTTTTATTTTTTCTATTCTCACTTGGTTGGCTCTTTAGTTATAATCTGTTATCAGGGTTGAAAGTTTTCCTTGGTGTCGTGAACAGTTTTATCCTCTCTCTACTTCCACTCCTCAGACCCAAATGCATACTGATCCCCACATATATTAAAAGATAGAGGTTGGTGCTTCTGCTAACCAGCAGTGGGGGCCTGCCTCAACCCCTCCCATGGTCCAGGGATGAGGTTCCAGGTGCTTCCTCATAAGTTTACTGGTGATTCTAGTTTTTTCTGCACCCACACCTCCCCCCAACCATACACACACACCTGAGCATGCTCAGAAGGAAGAATCCTTAAAATGCTGTCTACTCCCTGACTCCAAGCTTTGGGTGGGCTCCAGGCGCAGGAACTTGGGTTCTGAGGCTGTGGAAGGCCTGTCCCCAGGGCCACAGGTTGGAAAGATCCCCTATATCCTCCCTCTAGGCCCTCAGCTCCATCTGTTCCTGTTCGCTGAAGGGTTAAGTTATCCTGCAGTGACTAAGTGAGGCCAGAGCCTGGCTCACTGGTGGCCTGACTCAGAGAGCAGTGTGTGGTCCCTGCTACATCCTGTTGTGAAGGATGCTGTCCCCTGTTTCCAAGGACCTGCTCTAACCCCAAGGCAGGCAGAGGAAGTGAGGAAAGGGAAACAGCCATGGGGTTTATAAAAGAGGCTGGCCTCTGGCCTCCTTCCTGCATGACGGCTTTCCTGGGCCCCTGTCAGCTCCCCAGGAGCAGTGCGTGCTGTGGAGGAGCCCTCCTGGTCAAGGCCAGAGACCAAAGGAAAGGTAATTTTGGCATATGCTAAAAATAGGTCCTGTGGTTATTTTAGAGCTGTTTTGCTTGCATCGGAGGAGAAAATCTTGGATTTTGCTCAAACTTCCTGTAGTCCCGCGAGTCTCTTCCTCCTCCAGGCTCACTCTCCAGTCTGGTGACCTTCAGAGGCTTTTGACTACGACCCATGGTCATTTTACATTCAGGCTCTTTGCACACACAGGAGCACAAACATGGAACCAAAAAGTACTGTGAAGCATGACTTCCCTTTACTAGCTACAATGCACTCTATTTTCTATCCTATTTTATTTCATTTTTTAAAACTCCTGGCTGTGACCCACTAAGGAAATTAATGACCCACCAGTAAGTAGCACCAACAGTTTGAAAAACATTAATAAATCTATCCTTCCTTTTTTCTTTTCTCTGTTGCTGTCACTAATGACTTATGTGGCTTTGGGCAAGTCACCTACACTTTATAGAGCCTTTGTTTCTTTCATCCATAAACAGAGGGTTGGCCAATAATCTCCTTGATTCCTTGAAGTTGTGTGGTCTTGTCACATTCTTCTTTTAAAAAGAATCACCCGTGGCATTTCCAGGGCAGGCCCAATTTGGGACTCAGTGTCAAGTTCAAAACCAAGGGAGGTTGGTGTCTTGTCTCCACTGCTCTAGCTATGGCTTTATGGTAGAGGTGAGCTTTGGAGAGGACAGATCAAACCCCAGCTCCCCACGGATTAGTAGTGTGGCTTCCTTAATCTCTCCATGCCTCAGTTTCCTCATCTGTAGATGAGGATGATACTGTCTCATGGGCCTGTTGTGGATGTTAACTATGACAATGGCAGTGCAATCCTTACCACTCTTCCCCTCCGTTCTCTTCCCCTCCGCTCCTTACCCCTGCCCTTCCCTTCCCTCTCAGATTGACTAAGCTTCTTCGTGGAGAAAGTTTATCAACACCATTTCCTTTATCTAGAGTTTTACAGTTTGCAGAGCACTTCCACCCACCATCTCCTTGATCCTCACAAGAACCCTGTGGTTTGGTAGGGTAGGTATGATGCCCATTTTGTAGATTAGAAAAAGGAGACTAAAGTGACTTCTCAAGGTCATTCAGTCGTTAGAGGCCATCAGCTCACCACTGCTCATGCCAGGGTCGATGGTTTTCCCTGCAAACCTGTTAATTTAGTATAGTCTTGAGGAGACCCATTGACCTGGGAGGGGCTAGCAGCCGTCATGAGACCAGTAAGCAGGTGTGATCACAGGCAGTCTGCCATCACACACTGGAGTTAATTATTCTTGTGGACAGTGACCAAAAATTGCTTACAATAAGCATAGAAATAGTTTTGACTCATTCTGATCTTTACTACAATTTCCAATCATTATATTTATTCCTTTACCTATTTTTGTCTTTTTCCCTTACCAAAATATACGCTCCATCTGGGCAAGGACCATGTTTGCTTACTCTTGGTTGTATCCCCAACACCTAGCACGGTGTCTGGCACAATAAATATTTGTTGCTTGAAAAGTATTTGTTGAATAAATGACTAAACGTGCCACCTGTGGAGAGACTGGGCTGGAACCTCTGTCTTTTATTATGTGCTTTATTTAATATCTGTGTTCTTTGATCTGGATGATACTAACGCTAAGTCTTATACACACAAAGTGAATGGGAAAATTGAGGTAATTTATGGGTGATTCAAGCAGAATGGACCACCCACTTCAACCTCAATTATCTGGTTATTTTAGGCGGAAATATTTTAAAACCTGAACAACTGGCATAATTGCCTAATTTGTCCATTTCACTTGATTCTTGCAGTCCTAGCTGCAGACAGATGTGGAAATGCTTCCCTGTTAAGATAGTGGTCCTACAGCAGACACACAGCACACAGGCACGTGTGCACACACACACAGGATTGTGAAGGAGAACAGGAGTTTAAGAGGGAAACTGGGAAGGGTGTCTAGAGGCTCACTTTCCACCAGAAGAAACCCCCATGCCTGGCCTTCTGCAGCATTCAATTTCCTCCCCACAAGTGTGCATGGCTGGAGCCAAAGGTAATCACCTCTTGACCTTGGCAAACTGGGCTACTTGGAGGTGGACCCTCATGGGCAGAAAGGACTGGGCTGACAGGCACAGTTCTAAAGGAGATAGATTCTTCAATTTTGGATTTAAAAAAGGAACAGGAAAAATTCAAGCCTAAGCCAAGAAGCGGCTTTGTCATGTCAATAGTATTTAAAGATGCTATTTGGCTGGAGCTGAAAGTCCTGCAAATGAAAAACAACTTGTCCCTCCCGCCGCCCTCCTTCTCCCTGTTGGTTCTCAGCTCTGTCCTTAGCTCTCCACCAAAGCTTTCCCTCCTGACAGAGTCCAAAGTCACCTTCCACTGGGAAAGGCACGTGTCCAGTTGATGGCAACCTAGCCCATGGCCTGCTTCCGCCTCTGTGCTGTCTGCTTCTGAGGAAGTGGGGTATCTCAGGGATCCACCAGCCTTCTGAGGAAGTGGGGTATCTCAGGGATCCACCAGCCTCCTGAGAATGGCCTTGGGCTAGGGGCAGAGTCGCTTCTTGTCATTTTAGGGAGGGTGAAATAGAGGCCAAAAGAAGGAAGGAAAAGGAGCAGGGGGAGACACAGTGTGTGCTGCCTACCATGTGCTAAGTAGGCACTGGTGAGTTCCTTTACATGATAATGTATTCAAAGCTCAGACAGCCCTGTGAGATGGATACTGTAGGTAGTAAGATCCTCACTTTACACATGAGAAAATGGAAGTTCAGAGGGGTTAAGTGATTTACCTAAGGTCCCATGTCTAGTACACGGCCAGATATTTTGAATTCCAAAACTCAAGTCCGGGGCCAGCCCCGTGGCCAAGTGGTTAAGTTCGTGCACTCCGCTTCAGCGGCCTAGGATTTTGCTGGTTCGGATCCTGGGTGCAGACATGGCACTGCTCGTCCGGCCACGCTGAGGCAACGTCCCACATGCCACAACTAGTAGGACCCACAACTAAAATATACAACTATGTACTGGGGGGATTTGGGAGAAAAAGCAGAAAAAAAAAAGAAGATTGGCGAGAGTTGTTAGTTCAGGTGCCAATCTTTACGGAAAAAAACAAAAACAAAACTCACATCCCTTGAACTGTGTACAGGAAAGTGATTGGCTCTGAGTCAGAGAGCCATTTGGGGTAATTATGAAAATGTCTTCAGCCTTCCTTTGTTCTTGCCTCCAAGCCTTTGCTGACAACATTCCTTCAGCCTTCTGTCAATATTCTAGCCATCTCTCAGGCCTAGTTCATCTCTTCCCTCCTTCATGAAACTTTCCTCGATTCCCCAAACCAGAATTAATCACTTCCTTTATGTCCCTCCAGTGGGTCTGCTAACACCTGTGTTGAAGCATCCGTCTAGGTCAGAGTTGTGGTTTGGCTGCTGGGGTGTGTGGGTGACACACGAGGCTGGGGCACTCTGATCCAGCCTGGCACCAGCTTGAGAGGCACATGGTGGAGACACAGAGTGGGGGCATGAGGCAAAGGAGAACTTCTCCACTGCAAGGTTTGGGAGGAGGCTCAAAACCCAGAGGCTGCAAACTGTTCTCCACTGGATTTTGCTATGCTGAGGCCTACCCACACCATGTTCAGATTCCAGAAGGCCTCCTTCGTCCTGTTGGGAAATCTGCAGCGCAGAAAACACTGGGGGATATAAGCTCTGAGCTCCCCCACAGCAGGGTATAGGTCTGCTTCAGAAACGGTTGTTAGGTGAATGAGTGAATCGCTTAATGATTGAATGTTGCTGCTCTCAGGAGCCACCTGCTTGGTCCGGGGTCAGGAAAGCAATGGGAAGATGATTGTAAATATCACTCCCCGGTCCCAGTGGTTTACCCAAGCATAAAGTCTTGACCCAGGCACTGACTGGTCTTCTAGGGCCTTCCCAGCTGAGCCCCGTGTTTTGCCCTCTCTAGGGCGCTTCTAGGGGTGTGGTAAAGCCAAGGCCCTACACCCCTGCCTCCTGGCCTACCCCAGGGCGGATCCCCATCCTCCTCTTCTTTCTTGCATTCTCCTTGGCCCAACAATCCACCTCACCACTGGCATAAGGCAGAGAGATCAGACCAGAGGGTGGCCCTGTGTCTGTGTCCTTCTGTCGCCCTGGGGAAGGCCTAACAGCAGCAGCTAAGATGTGCCTGAGCCTGGAACACAAGCCCCTGGCTATCTCCTAACATCAACTTATTCTGACTAGAACCCTAGGAACAAATGTGTGTGTCAGTGTGAGCGACTGTGTATGCATGTGTGTGTGTGCGTGTGTGCGTGTGTGCGTGTGCACGTGTGGGGTGGCTTTTTAGGCTCAGGGTATCTAGAGATGCCAGATTGCGCTTGGACGGAGCTTGAAGTTCAGCCCGTCCAATCTCTTCATTTTGCAAATAGAGAAACAGGTTGTTTTCATTAATAGGAGTCTTTACCTGACAGGTGGGACATTAAAAATATGAAGGCGGACCCTGTGGCTACCCAGAAGGAGGGGTCCTTGTTCATCCTGGTCTCCTCCCCTCCCCACCCTGTGTTCCAGGCCCCTTCCTCTCCTCCCAGGGAGCTCCTCTCCTTTCCTCAAAGCCTTCATCAGAAACGAAACAAACGGAAGACGTCATTGAGGATGCAAAAACTTTTTCATTGTCTAGGATCCCCACCTGTCCTTCCCTGTCCCCACCACCATGTGACCCATGTGTCCTAGCAGACTCATGCTCTACGACACACCTTTGTCCCTTTCTCGCTTTTCTCATATAGCCCTGTAACAACCTTGCGAGGATAGTCTTCTTATCCCCACTTTACAGGTGAGAAGGCTGAGGCTCAGAAGAGTCAAGGGACTTGTCCACAGCACTCGACTGGTACCTAGTGGGAGTGGGATTGGAAACTCAGCCTTCCGGACCCCACATGTGTGTTCCAAACCAGAGCAGGCTGGAGACAACTCTAGAGGGAATGCACAGTGTCCCTTGATTCCTCCAGGCTGCTGAGCTGCCTGGGAGGAAGCCCATGGCTGCTTCTCTCCCTCCGCCCTCTCTCCACCACTCCAGAAGCACTCAGCCTGAGCTGATAACCGTGGCAGGTGCTTGGGAAATGGCTCTGACACCACAGGAGCCCCCAGAGGGGCCAGCCTGTGTCTGTAGGATCCAACGCCCCCACCTTTGGAAGGGCTCCTCCTGCACCAGGACCACTGGCTCCTGCACAATGAGTGGCCCCAGAGCCCTGACTCCCAGCTGTCAGCACCAGCGATCTTCACTCAGGAGCTAAGCCCTGGCACTTCCCAGGTCTGCAAGAGGCCAAGATTCTCTTCCAGAGAAACACTTCATCTCTCTCCGAGCCCAGGGCCTTGTGCCCCATCCAGTGTCTTCATAGTTCAGATTCTTGTGACTATAAAGGGCCTGGCACCCATGAGCATACATCCTTTCAGCTGAGTTCCATGAGAATGGTGATGGCTTTTCCATTAAATATCAAGCTCTCAAGTCCTTTTGGTTGTTATGGGATGAGATGAACCTCCGCAAATTCTGCTGGCCTGTGATCCAACCCAGATATTCCGGGTATCCCCTGTGACGGAGCAGGTGACTTTCCATCCCAGGCAAAGGCCTGGGGGTGGCATCAAAACCTGGGGACAAGGGTCTGGAGCTGCATGGAAGGAGAACAAAGGAATATTGGCAGCAATTGAAGCAGGAGCTAGGATCCTACACTTATGGGGAGTCACATCTTATATGGAGTTATTCTCTAAAGTCAGCACATGAGGAAAGATTGTCCATGATCAAAATCACCTTGACTCCCCTTCCAGAAGGTACCATGTTGGAGACTCTGACAAACTCTCTCATTTAGTCCCACCAGCTGGTGTTGCCATCAGCACGAGAACAGATGTTGTGACTTTAGGTGAACAAATGCAACGAGGTGGCTGTCTTGCATTTAGGGACCATGTTGTGTGGAAAATGTGTACTTTGAGCACTAGACTCACACTCACTCATGAGTCAGGCAGACACACGTCTTCTGGCGTCCGGGGCATATGCTCACCAAATGGACAGCTGGCCGAGTGTCCCCACGATTGCCCCTCCACTAACGTGTTGTAGTTCCACGGTGTTCTGCTCAGCATTTCCACTCCCGGGTGCGTCAGGAGGGGCAAAGCAGCAGGATCCGGAGGGCACCACCAAGAAGCTGGGAGACTGCCCCAGAAGCTGAACCCTGCATACCTGGGCCACCTTTGCTGTACTTTCCAGAAAGTTTCTCATTTTGAAGTGCTCCCCATTGCTGTCTCCTCAGTACGTCACACCCGGGGGCAGCCATGCTTGCGGCCACTTTCTGGTACAAAACAGCAAGGTTTCTCTCGCACAATCACATTTTTAGAGCCTCTTGCCTCTACTCCTCCTGCACTGGGAGTTATTATTTGTTAGGGGGTAATTAATCCTACAAGCTGGAGGCAGGTGTGTTCTTGCTGTTGAGGAACGAGGCATGAAAGATGTGTGTCTCCGATGTGACTGTAGAGACAGAGCACCTGGCCATGGCGGGGGAGAAAGGCAGGGTTTTTTCTTTTTCTTTTTCTTTTTGATGGCAGAGTAATAGTAAGGACAGAAGAGCTGAGTAGGCCTAAAATGCTTCCATTGGGAGTGTGAAGGGCAGCCCCAGGACTGAGGAAGCTGTCATTTAAAACAGCTAAGACAAGGGAGAGGGCACCAAATTGCACCTGTGTCGCAATACTTTGAAAATCTTTCTCCAAATGACTGACTTTCTCTGAAAGGCCATTTGAAAGCATAGGTACCTGGTGTTCTGCAAATATTTATATCAGCATTTAAAAATTCGTTATTTTTTATGACAAAAGTAGTGCAATGGTTGTTATGAAAAAGCTAAATATCAAAGAAACAGACGACCAGGAAAGTGAAAGTTCACCATCATTCCACTGTGCTGGAAATAAACACTGTTAACAGTGTGGGATATTTATATTAGAGTTGTAATCAATCGTTTATTTATACAGCACAGGCGTGTGCGGGTGGGGGAGCACATGCCCTCACTTGCCTTTCAGCTGTCGCTATCTTAAGAGTGCCTTGCCAGGGCTCTTAAGACAAAGCATCACTCTCCACCTGGTGGCACTACCTGCATTTCCTGGTAGGACGGGATTGACCCACTCTGGGCTGCCTTTCCAGCTCCGCAGCAGCAATCTCATCCCTGTGCGCTCCTTCTCACCCCCTCCCCCAGTCACCTCTCACAGGTCATTGGTTTGGCATCTGGGTCCTTCCCCAGGACTCCTCTGGGCAGGCAACACTTCTGGGGTACTCCAAGTCCTGTCCTTAAGGCTCAAGAACAGTCAGATTCTCAATTCCATCCTTGCTCACAATTTTCTCTGTCCATTGTTATATAGTAGATAGTGGGCTGAATTTGAGGTGGGGGCTGGGCAGGGAGAACACTGGTGTTTCTTGAGCACTTGTGCCATCTTAAGAGTTTAAGTAAAGTCTTTCATCGTGAAGTTAAATGACCCACTCAAGGCTACACAGCTAGTCAGTGGGAGAGGTGGTCCTGCAAGCAAGTCCTGGCTGATGGAGAATTAGAAGACCCTGGATGGAGTCCTTAGTGGTGGTATGGGTTGCACAGCCTGGGGAAATCTAATTCCCCTCCCTGGGCTCAGTGTCCCCATCTATACAGCGGGGAGGTTGCTTCTCAACCTTGACTGTGCATTGGAATCACCAGAGAGGCTCTAACAAGCTGATTCCTGGGCTGCACCTGGAGATTCAGATTTAATCCTTGTGGGATGTGGTCAGAGTGTCTCACCTTCTCTGGTTCTGCTGCAGTGCTGTGGGTCCCAGGGGCCTGAATGTGGCAGGGCCAGAGCTCCTGGCCTGTCCTCGTGGGAGTAAGGACACTGCTAACCTCCGCTTTATTTCCACTCCCTCAGTCATGTCCCAGACTGAAAATTCTCCCACCTAGAGGTATAAGACTCCAAAAGCTGTGGGTTCACAGTTCTCAGTTCTCTCACTTGGTGACCTCAGGCAGACTGCTTAACCTCTCTGTGCCTCTGTTTCCTCACCTGTAAAATGAGGAGAAAAAGAGTGCTTGCCTCGCGGGACTGTTAGGAGGATGAGATGAGATAACACGTGCACAGTGCCACCCTCAGTGCTGGGCCCTCAGTAGCACGCGTTCTCTGTTTTCTTTCCTACTTCCTCCGACAAAGCTCTCTCCAGCAACTGTGACTCAATGTAATGACACTCATTCACTCTGTCACTATAAGGTCTGAGTTCAAAGGATCACACTGAAGAGTCCTGAATGTCCAAATAAGAGAAACAAGGAGAAGGTCCAGAGAGAAGTCAGGGAGAAGCACCCAGAAGATATGAACCCACTTTTGGGCTGATTACAGGGTTGCCTCCATGACCTTACTCTTTCTCACTGAGCCCTGAGATGCTCACATGCAGGACCTGCTCTGAAACAAGGAAACGGGCTTGCCCTATGCAGCCACTCAACCTCTGGCAGAAGCTAAAGAATTTACCTCCTTGAGTTCCAGAAAAGTCTCTTAGCATCTAAGCACCTCGACCAGGTGGTAGGCACCTCCTCAACCTCTGCTGCCTTCTAGGTGCTAGAAGAGCTCTCCTGACCACCACCCCCAACACACACACACACTGCCCTTTTTTTCTCCCAAGGGTTGGGTTTTGACTCACTGTTTTTTGTGACCCTGTGGTTGGGCTTTCCAAGGCTCATCCAGGGGAGGCCTGGTTCCTTCTTCATGATTCAGTCTTTGCAAAATCTCTTGGCTCTGCTCTGCCTGTTTTGGCGAGGAAGGCTAGAATATTCTCCGCATCCAGGGAAGGAAGGAGCCCTGAGCGCTGGAACCAGCTGCACCTGCATTCCTTCCTTTGCTTTGCCACTTGTTAGTGCTGTGATTTGGGCCTGTGGTTTGCCTCTCAAGAGGAGCACAGACACATGTTAGCCCATTTGACTCTGTTCTCCTTCTGTCCGGCATGATCACAGAGCACAGTTCCTTCCTCATAGCTGGAAAAAAGAGCAGAGGCAGCAAATGGTCATGATTGGAGTTAAATCCTTGGGCTTCCCAGCCCGGTACCTCAGAAAGAGCATGCTTTGCAAAGATTGCAAGCCTGCCACCTGCAGTTCCAGCTGACTGCCACCTTGGGCAAATCGATGACTTCCTCAGCCTCATTTACACAGCTGTGCTCTAAGGCAGTTGGTCTAAATCAGTCATTCTTAAAAGTGAATTATTTGGCATACCAGTTTTGCAAACTGCTTCTCAAAAAAAAAAGGTCTCAAAGTTCCAATAAGTTTGAGGGATTCTGTAAACCTTTCCCTCAACCCCCTGGAGCACATCCTAATCTACACATCCTCCTGGTCAAGGCAGCCACACGGCCAGTAACAGAGAGGCCAGTTTGGCTTCATTCAACTCACTTTCTCCTAAACTCATTTGATCATGAAAACTTTTCATTCCTGTTAACATCCTGGAGCCCTAGTGACTGGAGAAAAACATGAGAAATAGTGGTCTCATCCGGAGAGGGCTTCTCAAACGTGAAGGTACATAGAAAACACCAGGGCTCTTGTTGAAATACAGAATCTCATTCAGCAGGTCTGGGGCCTGCTGGAGATTCTATTCGTCTAACAAGCTGCCAGCTGATGCCGATACTACTGGTCCCCCGACCACATATCGAGTCCCAGAGGGCTGATTCCTAAGGCTTTTTCAGCTTCAAGATTAGAAGCAGTGCAGAAATGGTGACTCAGGGACTCTGAACTCATAGAGACCTGGGTTAGGGCCTTGGCCTCACCACTTAGCGGCAGTGTGAGCTTGAACAAGTCTACCTCCCTGAACATTAGTTTTCTCATCTCTAAATAAAGTGGTACCTGCTCCAGAGGACTGTTTGAGGATTAAATTAGACTATGCAAATAAAACATGTAGTGCTAGACCAAGCCATAGGAGCAAAATCTGTACTGGTTAACAATATGTACATCTGGACATCATTACAATATCTGCCTGCTCCATCTGTGGGTGGTACCACCTCTTCGCCTGCCCTCACGTTACTTGCACTGCTGACAGCTCAGACCTCTTTCTTCCCAGCATGTTGGCACTGCTATCTCTGTTCATGGGACATTGCATGGCCTCTCTTCTCCAGCACATTCTAGTAAGTTCTCTTGCTTTCAGGGTATCAGAGGAGCTGAGAGACAACAGCTCTCCTCCAGTGATTACAGACAAACCAGTCTAGTAACAGTACAACCCACTCTGGCAGAAGTAACACAAGTCCTTCCTGATCCTGTCCGCAGGGGTCCTCATTGACCAGCGAGGCACTAGTGCTCACATTATCCCATCAATTATCCCGGGCATGGGCCCTACCGACTGTCATAGATCTTGTGTGTCACAAGCAGCTACCGTGAGTCTTTAACTCTCATTGTATTCACCTTCCTGTTCCTCAATGTGTTTCCACACTCGTGTGAAAACCTTCATATAAATATGTTCACATGGTAAAAAAAAATAATCCTTTGTGAGCTAGCAAGGCCTATATTTGGGATCAATTAAGCTCCCTGCTTGTGTGTAGACAGTGGATTAGGACCCCATCACCCTGGCTGCCCCTGATCTTGCTGCATCTTGGAAGCTAAAGAAGGACGAAGGAAGGAGGATCACCATTTATCGATCACCTCCCAGTGTTTGGCCCCTGATATGCGTCATCTCATTTTAAGCCTCTCAGCAACCCTGTGTGATAGGTATTGGTATTCTTCTTTCTCAAGCTCAGAGAGGTTAAGTAATTTGTCCAAATGCACACAACTAGTAAGTACTGGAGATGGAGTTAAAGTTCAGGATGATTTGACTTTTTTCTCACTATCAACTTCCTCCTTTCCCAGACTACATGGCAGAAAGGGAGGGCCCACATCTTCCAAGTTGTACCTGTTATTGCAACACTTGGAGAGAATAAGTTCTTTCTCCACTTGATCCTGCCTTGGGTCAAGTTCTACATCTGGCCCCATCAAATGTGACCATTAGAGGCAGTGCCACATTGTGCAAACATGGCAGCTTCTGTTCTGACCATGTGGACATGAGTCAGGGCAGAGGGGAGAGAGTTGGTGAATGCAGAGAACAGAGTGCTGGGCAGGGTTCACTCTAGCTGGGCCGTCCATGGGATACCCCTTGTTAGGGGCAGTAACTGGAAAGAATAACATTTAAAAGGCAGAAGAAGGGGCCAGCCCAGTGGCGCAGCAAAGTTTGCACACTCTGCTTCAGCGGCCTGGGGTTCACTGGTTTGGATCTCAGGTGCAGACGTGGCACCACTCATCAAGCCATGCTCTTGCAGGCATCCCACATATAAAGTAGAGGGGGATGGGCATGCAGTTAGTTCAGGGCCAAGCTTCCTTAGCAAAAAAAAGAGGAGGATTGGCCATGGATGTTAGCTCAGGGCTAATCTTCCTAAAAAAAAGAAAGAAAGGAAGGAAGGAAGGAAGGAAGGAAGGAAGGAAAGAAGGAAAGAAAAGAAAGAAGAAAGAAAGAAAGAAAGAGAGGGAGAGAGAGAAAGAAAGAAAGAAAGACAGAGAGAGAGAAAGAAAGAAAGAAAGAAAGAAAAGTGACTGCATAAAAGAATGAAATAAATAAAAGGCAGATGAGAAGGCAAACTTCACCTTGACCATACCCAGGCACCTCGCTGGTCATCTTCTGACCCTGGTGCAGGTTGGCACAGCAGCTCCCCCACGAGCAGCCGCCGTGGTCTGCTCGGGAAGCTCACCCCTGGAGGGGCCCAGGGATGGGAATATGTCACATCCTCGTTCCTGACCTCTGGCCCAGACCTGAGTCATCCCACCATCTATCACAGAGCCTGGTGTGTGGTGAGGTGTGTCAGGCTGACCATACACAGTTGCACATATCTGGGAGGCTCTGGCCCGCTGGATCCCTGCCACACTGTGCCACATGCTTTGTTTCTCTGACCCTCAGTTTTTCCAGTGATAGAAGACGGTGACTATACCACCAATGTCACAGGCCCATGTGGGAAACCATTAAAACCAAGACTCTCTGGAACCTCCATGGAGTTGCAGGGTAAAATGATGTGAAGTGCAAGTTGTCCACCATTCCTCCAGACTCCTGAGAATGGACTTGGGAGAGCCTGTCCGACCCCCGGTCGCCAACCAGTCATCCAGATGCACAAACACCATTCAAAGATGACAGCTCCCAACCTGACGATGGTCCTGTACAGGGTGCAAATGTGAGGGTGCTAAATTCCTAACCTGGGCCACCCTGTCTGCTCCACACTCGGGAGCTTAGTGCCTTGTTCTCGGTTGCCACTGTGAGCTGATTTTTAATTATCCTTCGGGACTGTCGCCTCTTGGAATGCTGGGAAGGAAATGCTCACCCCAGCTGGGCTGCAGTCAGGCCTGTTGGAGAACAATGTCCACCTCCGAGTCCATTCTGTTTATCTCTCGACTGGAACGCAGACGAGAGAGCGGTGCTCTGTGAACCAAGAGGCAGAGGGAGCGTGGTGACTTGTCAGCACTTCTGTTGCTGCAGAGCCGACATGATTCAAAATACCAACCTCTTTTTAAACCTTTAAAACTTGGCTTCTGGGAGTGCCTCATTGAACAGGGCAATGAAGGTCTTTTACTATTTTTCAAATCAACACCATTATGATCATTTTCCCTTTAATTATAGCAGCTCATGTTTATTGAGCACCTACGCTGTGCCAGGCACTAGGTTTACATGCATCGCCTCATTCAAGCCTCACAACTGTGTGAAGCAGGTCCATTTACTAGCCCCTTTTTACAGATGAGAGGACTGAGGCTCAGAGAGGTTTAGCCCTCTCCCCTGGCCAAGGTTGCACAGCAGCAAGAAGATAGTGGTGGTATTCAAGCCCAGGCAGCCTGACTCCAGAGCCTCCCCTTTAGCCACAACCTCTTCCTCCCTCCTTGGAATTGGGCGTTTGTTCAGTTCTATGGACCTGGGAACAGGTATTGGGAAAACACCTCAAACACCCTAAGCTTCTGGTTTATAACTTTTACCTACTCCATCCCAGCAACCTGTGCTCACCCACAGCTGAGTAATAGGAGGACTGTGTAGGGTCAAGCTGCCATATTCCACCCACCACAGCGAGAGGCGAGGGCCAGGGCTCTGTAGACGAAGGCGCAGACAGATGTCTGTTTCCAGGATGGGACAGCTGAGCTCCTGGGCTTACAGGTTCTGCATGTTCTCTAGCTAGCTCCGCAGGCTGTTTTAGGAAGATGGCTCATTTTTTTTCATCTGGAGGAGAGGAGTCTGGGATGCTGCAAAGAGGGAAGGAGTGAGAAATGGGGCAGCTGGGAGCAAGGCACTCCAGAGAGAAGACTTTCCTGCTTGTGCAGTTCATTGTTTTGCCATGGCCTTGACTGCTGGACCTGCAATCCTTCCACTTTGCTTGCCTCTGTAACCTTCCTCTCCAGCATTTTTAAGGCCACAAAGCCAATAAGCCAGAATTTTAAAGCAGCCCAGGGCCAAGGGTAGTGGGTTGAATTGAGTCCCCCAGAAGGATATGCCCAAGTCCTAACTTCTGGCACCTATGAATGTGACCTTATTTGGAAATAGGGTCTTTGCAGGTTTAATTAAGTTAAGGATCTAAAGAGTGGGCCCTAAATCCAACGACAGTGTCCTCATAAAAGAAAAGAGAGGAAGACTGAGACACAGAGACACACGGAGAGGAAGCGCACGTGAAGACAGAGAGAGAAATTGGAGTTATGCCACCACAAGCCGAGGAATGCCGGGAGCCTTCGGAAGCTGGAAGAGGCAAGAAAGGATCCTCTTTCAGAGTCTTTGAAGGGTGCAAGGCCCTTCAGACACCTTGATTTTGGACTTCTAGCCTCTAGAACTGTGGAGGAAAGATTTCTGTTGTTTGAAGCCACCCAGTTTGTAGTAATTTATGGCAGCCCTAGGAAACTAATAGACCAAGGAAGACTCTCTCCTGCCGTCTAGATCACTGGCAAGGATCTGTCGAGTGGTACCTACCTCCCATGACACAAAGGAGCCAGCTGGGAATTTGAGGCTGGCCTAGGTGCCAAGCTTTGCCCGCAGTCAGCAGCCTGGGTGTATTTACTTGTCTGGCTCCTGCACCTTTGAGAACGGGTACTGTGGTTAGTGGCTGGAAATTGGTGCTTGTGCCAGCTGGCCACAGTCAGAACTGCTCTGGAAAACAAAGGTCCATTTGGAAAGCCACCCTCTCTCCCATTTTCTCTCACCCCTCAAACTAGGCACAGCTTGTATGGCTGGATGGGAGAGAACTGGAAAAAGGGAGGGTTAAATTGATCCATATAATACGGGAAGAAAAATTAGTGAAGGATCCTTGGAAGCACAAAAGGAAGGAGGTATGGGTCTTTCCTCTTGAGGGGCGGCAGAGTCTAGAAGAGGGGAGACGAGGGGAGAGGAGAGACCGCTCTCTGTCAAGACAAACAGCAGCAGTGGGTGGAGCCATGAGGACTGGAATGGCTGGCTGATGAGAAGGTCCCTGAAGCAGTATTGACAAAGGAAACTTTGTATAGTGGTGGTCTCTCCCCTGTTGTAAGTTCCTCCCTTTCCTCTGCTCTACTGTCATCCCCTCTATCTCTACCAATGGGGAAAAGTTGGTTACACCAATAGTCTGTCAACTGGTAAAAACTGCTTACACCAATCGTCTTGTGTCAATGCTTCTTTGGGGAACTCAGGGAGAGGGACACGTCATGTGGGGGTGAAGCCACATGGAGAGCTGGCGGCAGCCACAGGGGACAGACCTATGAGGGTGTTGATCAAGAATTCACTGAAATAATAAATTGGATCGAGAGAAATGTAACTGCAGAATTCCTAGGGATTGGGCAGGGAGGAAAAAGGAGAGTCTAGAAATCTAACTGCAAGTGGGGTGGGAGAGTTAAGCAGGTGACCCAGATGTTACAGGAAAAGGTGGGCTCAGCCGTGGGTGGACTCCAGGACAGCCAGAGGCAGCCCTTTGGGACCCATGTTTGATTCAGCTCTTCATTCCCCACAGCATGGTGCATTGCATAAGACAGATTCTTAGTAAATTCATAATAAATAAATTGTGTCTTGCAGGGGCCATTTGGAACCAAAATACTATATAGTATTATGCATGGGAAGATCCCAAGCTACAAACCAAAATCAAACCATGCCTGGAGAGCTGATAAGGGATATGGTCTCCCTTCTCAGTCCCTCCCGGCTCTGTGGAATTTATTTTTCTCTTCCCCTGGTTTTCCCTAAACAAATTCTCCCCAGTGACTGATTTCAATTTGTAAAATATTTTTTCAGATAACTTCTCCCTACAGTTTATAATTCTCATCAATTTAAGCTATCTTTTATTTCTCCTGTTCCTTTAAAGCAAATTTTATTACTTTTCACATCCTGACTTTGAGATCTCCCAATCTCTCCCTTTCTCTCTGAAGAGCTTTATTGAGATATAATTTACCTACCATAAAATTCACCTTTTAGTGTACAATTCAGTGGTTTTAGACTATTCACTGCTGTGCAACCACCACCATTATCTAATTCTAAAACATTTTCATCACCCCAAAAGGAAATCCTGCAACTATTACTAGTCATTCCCCATTCCCCCTTCCCTGGAGCCCCTGGAAACCACTAATCTACATTCTGTCTCTATGGATTTGCTTATTCTGACATCTGACATAAATGGAATCATACAGTGTGTGACTGGCCTTTTGTGCTGGGCTTTTTTCACTGAGCGTAATGTTTTCAAGGTTCATCCCTGTTGTAGCACACACAGTACTTCCTTTTTCTGCTGAGTAGTATTCTACTGGATATACCACTTTTGTTTATGTGTTCATCAGTTGATGGACGTGTGGGTTGGTCCCACATTTTAACTATTGGAAATAATGCTGCTATGGACGTTCACGGAAGGTTTTTCTGTGATCACACATTTCCATTTTCTTGGGTAGATACCTAGGAGTGAAATTGCTGGGTCACATGGTAACTTCATGTTCAGCATTTTGAGAAACTGCCAAATTGTTTTCCAAAGTGGCTGCATGTACATTTTCCATTCCCACCAGCAGTGTATGACGGTCCTAATTTCTCCACATCTTCACCAACACTTGTTACTGTCTGTCTTTTCCATTTTAGCTCCCAATCTCATTTAAAAGTTGCTTTTCTCTTTTAACTTCTCTCCAAAAGGATTGGCACACAAGCCAGTAGTTGAAAATTTTCACCTGAAACATCAGGATATCTAAACCCTTCATTTACATTACATATATTCCTGTTTGTTCCAGCCGTGCACAAACTCAGACCCATGTCAGAAAGGAGTTTCCCCCAACCCTGGTGGAAAAGAGAATACCACGGAAAACGCTTCTTCTCCCGGTTCCTAGAGAAGCTGCATGCAGGGTATGTACGTGTTCCTTATTCCTTTGAGAAATTTTAAGGACAATCTGTTTACCCAATACTAACTAGTCCCCTTGGAGCTCACGCAGGAATAGCTGGTATTTGTCAGCATTCTACCAGTAACAAAACATGTTATGGTTCTGGCATTTAATTTGCCTTCTCACAGAAACCTCAGGGCAATTCCTAGGAGTCTCTTCAACTTCTAGATGAGGCTTCTTGCCTAAGGTCAGCCAGCTAATAAATGATGGAGCAGAACCTCCAACTCAGGCCAGGGGATGCTCCCCTCTTACCTGCAGACTGTTCCCAGGATCTTTCCATTTCGTCACTGACTTGTTGGAAATGTCAAAGGGACCCTTTTTCTACATCTCGCATTCTCTGCTGGTAAACCGGACACACTCAGTCTCAGCCCTTTGCACGCCTGACGGGCTTCCACGGTCTGCCCAGGCTGTGTGGAGCTGGGTTAGCAGAAACTGGGCTCTGGATTTTGCTTTAGTTGTTTTCTTTTCCACTTCATTGTTTCCATAGGATGTCTGTCTTCCCAAAATAGCACCGGGGCATTCCAGGTAAACTCAACATCCGACCAAAATCCCCATTCAGCAGCAGGTCCAAGGGGTTCCAGCGTGTTTTCCTCCCTTCCTTTGATCACTGTGGCTCTGGGGGAGTGGGAGTCTGGGACGGGCTCACTGTGGAGCCTGGACATAGAGGGAAGTGGGAGGAGGCGAGGAGGGCTTGGCCAAGCTTTCTTGGAATCCAGCCAAATGACACTCCCGCCTTCTGCCCCAAGGCTAGAGCGGAGGCCTTGACCCTGGCCTTGGGGAATGTTATGAGGATTGGAGGAAAGAACTGAGCAGGGCCTTGTGGTCTAAGTCGTTTTGATCAGAGAATGAAAACAACCAACGTGGACCCAAATTCTTCCCTGATTTCAATGGATGGCAGCATGGTGTAATGGAGAAACTCTGGCTCTGGCTTAAGACAGAGCTGGGCTGCATCCTGGCTCTAGTGCTTACCAGCTGTAAGGCACAAGGCAGCTGTAAATCATATTAGCATCTCATTTACCACTCTGAGCCTCTGATTCCTCATTAGTAAAATAGGGATAATGGTGCCCACCATGAGCGATAAAGACCAACGGATACAACGCCTGTAATAGGGCTTGGCCCGTGGTAGGTACTCAATCAGTATAGGTTAGTTTCCCACCCACTTCCTAGAGTTCAGAAGAAAAAGTTGCTTATTTCTTCATTGCCTCTTTTTTTTTTTTTTACCATTTTTTTGGTAGCAAGAACATTTAAGATCTACTGTTAGCAACTTTCAAGTATACAATACTGTATTATCAACTACAGTCACCATGCTGTAGGTTAGATCCCCAGAAGTCATTGTAACTGAAAACTTTGCCATCCCCCCATTTCCCCCACCCCCCAATCTTCACTGCTCTTGACGCCATTACTACCCAAGTACTGAGAAGGTCCTGGGAGGCAGTTTAGAGAAGTGAAGAAAAGCACAGAATTTCATCAGATAGGCAGGAGCAGCAGTCTTTCACTTTACTTGTTTGTGTGTGTACCCCAACATAATTTCCTCAAACCAACCACTCCCTGCCTCCAGCACGTTTTAAAAATGGTCTAAAAATTGTTCAAGTTTAAACAGCTACAAAAAGTGTGATTTCTGGCATATTGTAAATATTAACATTTAAAACTAACTGTTACATCCCACTTTTAAATTCACCCAATGAAATATAACATCTGTGATTTGATACCCACTATGATCCATTTAAAAATGTGTGAAAAGCTCATTTCACGTTCAGAAATTTTACATCCTTTAATCTCCTTGAATGTGTATTATTATTCCTACTTCCTCCACAGATTTTTGTCCCAATGTATTATTTTTTGTGCTTCGAAGTGTTTTATTGAGCACATTTAAATAAATGGAGAGAGCCATTTTTAGCATTGAATACTTTTTCTCTTGCTCTCACAGGGCTCTCCTTCAAGAGTGTGCATTCTTTGATGAAAGTACAAGGAAAGAAGAACAAAGTCACTAAGTGAAAATTGTTATTGTTCCCACCACCAGTCCAGGAGCCCAGCAGGCCCTTGGGTATGGAACCGTCCAGGAAATTGGTGCCTGTGTTGGGTCCCCCTTCTTTTGCAAAATGGGGAGAGTCCTAGTGTGGGAATTCAGTCTTTTTCTCAGATAATTCCATTTTAGGAAAGAGGGCCTATGGAAGTGGAAGATCTGGAAAGTGGTTTCCTGGTTACTATTTTTGCTCCATTACCCTCTGGAATGTCCGGTGTATCTCAGTTAGAGGACAACTGAGTTCAAATGTGAAACCCAGTTTTGTCACTTACTTGAGTCAGGTAACCCTAGGCAAGTTACCAAATCTGTGGGTTTCCACAAAGGATTGTTATTAGAATAAAATGAGTTTAAAAGAAATTGTGATCCAAAGCAGGCTCTCAATAAATAACATGGATTCTCAGAGGACCCATTTTTCACTATTTAGGATAGACGAAATTATGATGTGTATTATTTTCATGGTGTACATTTGAAAGGGTAGAGTTTGTCTCCCAAATCTATTATTAAATTAATGGTATGTCTTGCAACTGATGGCCACTTGGAATTAAAGATATGGGGCAGCTTGCATCCTTCCAGCTTGTCTGAAGTCTGGCTTCTTTTGGGTTGCCAGCAGTTTACTTAATAACATTCTGAAATGGGCTCACTGCCTTTGGGAGCCAATTCTACAGCAACAGCCTGTGACACCTCCTGGATCTTCTTCCTAGGTTGTCACTATGGCTCAGAGCTCATCAGCATAAGTTTCGCGGGACGCTTTCCTCCAGGTCCACCAACCCTAACTGTGAGTGCACTGAGTTTCATCTGATGTTTGTTTTTCCCTCCACAGCTTTGTGAAAATTTCCTGCAATTTTCCTTGGTTGGTTTCACAGTTCATTGTTCAGAGGAGCTACTGGCCTCCTCAGGTTTGGCAACTTCACTTTATACTCCTTATCATTTAAAACAAACAAAGTCAACTAGAAAGAGATCTTAACGTTGACCCCTGTGTGAGATGACTCTAAGCTATGTCCAAAGAAACCTTTGTTCCTGCTTTTGTCCCTCCACTCTGAGGAGATCCCAATCCAGCGTGAACCACCATCTCCAATCGCGTATGAGGTATTCAGCTAATGTTGTTGAGTGAACGGATGCCAGGGAAATTCATTTTTAAAAAACATTTTATTATGGAAGATTTCAAACAATTATAGAAGTAAATAGCATAGTGATTCCCAAACCCCACCCAGCCCTAGAAAGAGCCCAGAAGTTCCTATTTTGAAGAAGCCTCTCCAGTGAATCTCATGCACTCAGTGGAACCACACTCTGAGAAACTCTGATCTAAACGATGAAAGCTTCCGTCCCTCCCTCACTCCTGTTCAACTCCGTGGCCTCACCTCTTGCCGCGCCCCACCTTGTATTATGATCCAGTCACCCTGAATTTATTTCAGGTCTTTGAATGTGCTGTGCTCTCTTCATCTGGCCTTTGCACAGGCTTTGCTTCTGCCTGCAGCACATCCAGTCTCCACTGGACACCTTCACCCACTCTTCACTTAATTAACTCCTACTCATCTTTTGGGTCCTAGTCTGGCACCGCTTCTTCCCTGCCACCTTCCCCCACCTCCAATTCCAGGTCAGGTGTCCTTCCCACCTGCTCTCCCAGGGCTCCACCCTTCCCTTTCCTAACAGCCATCATACTGCTTTGTCATTGTGTCCTAATGACTGGTGTTTCTCTCCTACCAGACTGTAGGCTCCCTGAGAGTGGAGACCTTTTCCGTCTTGTCCACTCTTAGAGTCCAACACTCAGCACATGCCTAGCACTCAGCAAAGATTCGGCAAGTAACACTGAAACTGAATTCAATTGAAAGTTTATTTCAACCACACAAAAGAGGAGGACAATTTTAACAGTAGAAAATACTCCCATTTTATTTGTGTGCGGTATAAAAACCTCAAGCATTAGCACATATGTGCAAAATACAGTCAAACTAATCATAAACACCTATTTTCTAAGCTGTTTCCCATCACATTTATTGGCTACATGTTCACTGTTTTTTTGGTCAGCACTTGACAGATTGCAGCAGTAAGTATTGAAGAATTAAGAAGAATGTAGAAATGTCTATCCGCTTAACTGTGTTCTGTCCTCTTATTGAGAAAAGATTGTCTTTATTCATATTTTTTTTTCAGCTTAAGGGATGCCAGCCAAGTTTTGAGGCCATTCTTTTCTTCTTTCTCTGCATTCTCATTCAGTCCCAAGACAACATACCATCTATGTCTGCACTGTCCAGTAGAGTAGCTGCTTACCTAAGTAGCTGTTAAGCACTTGAAATGTGGCTAGTGCAAACTGAGATGTGCTCTGAGTGTAAAATACACACAGGAGTTCAAGGACTTAAGAGGAAAGACAGAATGTAAAATATTCCATTAAAATTTTAAATATGATTACAAGTTGAAATTGATAATATTTTGGATATATTAAGGTTGTTAATAAAATGTACTATTAAATTTAATTTCACCTATTTCTTGCTACTTTTTTAATGTGGTTACTAGAAAATTTAGGACTACGTATGTCACTTGTACTGTGTTTCTATTGGATGGCGCTCATCTATATAGCTGCTTAAACTCAGCCGCAGCTTCCCCATCTGTAAACTGGGGATAATACAATACATTTCTCAAAGGATAGTTAGGAAGATAAAATGAGTTAATATCTGTAAGACACTTAGAACAATACTTGGCATATAACTGGTGCTTTTAAATGTCTGTGAAATAAATAAATGATGCTTATCATATTTAGTGTCTAAACTCCTCTTGTTAGCCCAGTCCCCTGCAAAACAGAATTTGAGGCTCAGGGGCTAAAGTTTCATTGGAGGATATAATTCCAGGGAAGCAGGACTGAGGGAAAAAGGGGACTGAGGCAGGAAAGGAAGGAAGCAAACACAAGGTGGGTGTTGTGGAGCATGCCACAGCTTTACAAGAAAGTCTGCATTTGGTTGCTTGATTACAAGAGGCACAGAGAGGCCCTGTGGAACCAGCGCATCTTGGAAGAGTTGCTAGAGGGCCAAGGTGAGCTGTTTATCTTCCACTTCCTTCCCATCTCCCATCTCACATTGGTCAAAGTTTGCCCCTTGTGGCGTTGTCTTTTGCACTTTCTGATTATGTCACTGGGCAGCAGCAAGGAAGTTGTAGACTCTAGAGGTCCAGGTGGGTTGGACCTGGGCTCTGGAGCTGCTGAGGCCCCTGACATGGCAGGTGTCATGGAAGTCTTGATGAAGACTGACGCTTATCCCTGGAGGGTTAGCCAGCAGTGTCAGATGGGGCAATGGCAGTGACAGTGAAGCTCTATGACTACAGGGAGGTCATCCTACGTTTGGGACTGGTCCAGCTAGGACTCAGGCAAGGGCCAAGCCCAGGGGCAGATGGGACCAAGTGGAACTGAGATCCTGACTCATACTTGCTACTGGTCTTCTCCCCTTGGACGTCTCACAAGCACCTCAAGTCTAGCATGTCTGAGACTAAACCCTCGATTTCCATCCCCAAATCTGTCCCCTGACCCAGACCCTTCATTTCTGTTTTCTACAGCTTAGTAAATTCAGCCACTTGCTCCAGCCAGAAACCTGGGTGCTATACCTG